TACATAATCGCCTTCGTGCTGCACTGGGGCTCGATTAGAGAGGGCCCATCCTGCTCGGCTCCACTCCGTTTTGATCCCGTAGTCAGCTGCGGAGTTATAGATGAAGTGACAAGGATGCTATCTTGATTGTATCCAGCTGCCTGGAGTAAGTCAAGGGCAGGGAGGCCCCTCGTGAGAAACGGCGCCCACTGACGGCTCCAGAGGAATCTGAAATTCAGAACAGCTCGGGTGCTTTCACAACGGCGTAGTTCAGCACTCAGTGACCCAGTGTCACCCAGTTAAGTCTCTGGGGAGAGAAGTCTGATAAGTGGCTTCGGCTAACGGGAAGAAGATTGAAATCCTAACCGCATTTGACCCGAACACGGAGCCAGTGTTATTAGAGTGGCTGCAAACGGGAGCTTGAAAAGAAGGACCCTAGGGACAGTGCGTGGATTGGAGAGCTGTGTAGACTCAAAGTAGCCACGGGGTGGAGGAAAAGGCGGCTTCCGGCTCGCAGGGGACTGACCCAACTTGTCCCTCCCTGGCCCACCCAGCCCTTCCCCCACCGCGCCCATCCCCCGTGGGTGGCACAGTGACCTGCGCTTGGAGCCTTTCAGAACCCCTGTAAGTCCACAGAGGGGAACCACTGGTCCCTACCATGGTACTGGTGCCACTGGAGCAGGCAGGTGCTTGCTGCTGACAGAAGGAAACTGCCCGTGCCTATACGGGAGCGCGCCCGGGCTGCGCACCGAACAGAAGCCACGGCTCACAGACTGTGTTGTTGCTCTGGGCTCTATAAAGCCGGAATAGTATCCTATTATTTTAATCTGCTGAAATCCAAGCCCCAGAGTAGGAGCACAGCAGCAGCCTCACACGTCTGAGGAAATGTCTGACACGGCTTCGTTTGTCTGCAGCTAGTACGATGGCGGCTGTGGCTGATTAACTCGGTTGGGTACAACATGGTGTTAATGAGGCCAAGGCTGTGGGTTTCAGAGGCCTGGTAGGTGCACTGGGCTCACACAAAGGAAACCCCAGACCACGCTCAAGACCCGGGTCAGATATCCCATAAAAGCATGCGGGTGATCACAGGAGGACCGGGGAGGACAGTGTAATGACTCAGCGAATACCGCTTACCCCCTTCTGGAAAAGCAGTTTAAGACATGTGCTTTAGCCATGGTGAATTATTACTGTGATCTTCACGTGCAAGGGATATCACATTATTATTGATGGTAACTGTTGATCAGGACTGTCTCAGACTTCCTTTCTGCCTGTGAGGGAAAGAGAAAGGATCTTCAGTCCCTTCTTCTAGTCTCAGCTTTTTTGCCTGCTGAGGTCGTGCCCATCTGTGCGTTCCGTGAGTGTGAATGTGACGCTGTCCTGTGCGGGCACTGCTCTTTGTGCTTGGGAAACCACAGTGAATCAGACAGAGTTCTGTCTTCGTGGAGATCCAGTTCTGTGGGAGGAAAATAGGTGCTAGATCAGGAAACAATAAATAACCAAAACAATTCCAAAAAATGAACGTTTGGTGAAGGAAAGCCTGGGGTGAGGGCATGTGATGAGGAATGGCTGGGAGGGAGACAGTGTTTACTTTGGGTAGGAAAGTCTGGAAAGTCCTCTCAAGAGTAGGTGACATTTAAGCAGAGACTTGACTGATGAACAAGAACTAGCTTTCTGGAGAGCTGGGACAACATTCCAGGCAGAAGAAAGAGATGAGCAGTCACGATTCTAGAGCAGAAAGGCCACAGAAGTGTGGGAGAACGTGGCAAGAGGAGAGGTAGGAAAGCGGCTGGGCTCTTAGAGTATGCTGAGGACTTTGGCTCTTATTCTTCGTCAGCAGGAACCCATTTTTTGTTTCCTTTCAGGGGTAGAATAGTTCTTAAAGATTTTGGGGGTTGTTGGTTGAAGTGTTCCCCCTGAAAACTTATGTTGAAATCCTCACCCTTAGTAACCTTATTTGGAAATAGGATCTCTTTAGAGGTAATGAGTTAAAATGATGTCATAAGGGTGGGTCCTAATCCACTTGGACTGGTATCCTCATGAAAAGGAGAAATTTGGCCACAGATGCAGACACATGCACAGAGGGAGGAAGGCCGTATGAAGACGAAGGTTAGGCGTGATGCATCCGCAAGCCAAGGAATGCCCGTGACTGACAGCCAGCCACGGAAGCCTGAGAACAAGGAAGGCCCTGAGAGGAGTCAGAGGGAACGTGGCCCTGCCCACACCTTCATTTCAGAGTTCTGGATTTCTGCTGTTTTAAGCCACCTGCTGTGGTGACTTTGTTAGAGTATCCCTAGCAAACTACAAAAGGAGGCAGGGGGCTTGTACACCACCTCTGCCCTGGGGAAAGCCACGGTGCATTGTCCCCGGCTCAGTGACATGTGGGCACTGGGGAAGCCCCCACATGCCGCAGCGTATGACCATACGACAGATATGTGAGGGTAAATACGTGCCGAAGATAACATTAATTTAAAATACTTATACATGTATTTATATATACACACACATAAAATAAGATGCAGCCTGTTGGTTGAGTTACCCTCAAACAGATCTTTCTCAGCTTAGCAGAGGGTTACCTGATAAAACTGTTGTGAATTAGGGCACCTGGGTAGCCCACTCAGTTAAGCGTCCAACTCTTGATTTTGGCTCAGGTCATGATCTCAGGGTTGTGAGATAAAGCCCCACATCCAGCTCTGTGTGGAGTCTGCTTGTCCTTCTTCCTCTGCTCCCCACCCTGCTTGTGCGCGCTCTCTCTCTCTCTAAAATAAAGAAAATGTTTTAAAAAAAAATGCCCAGAACACTTACATTAGCCTATAGTTGGGCAAGATCATCTAACACAAAGGCTATTTTATAATAATAAAGTATTAATTTACTATAAAGTAAATAATAAAGTATTTATTTAAGTTATTTGAGTATTAAAGTATTTAAATAAAAAATGAAGTATTATTTATATAATAAAGTATTAAATAATAAAGTATATTACTAAAGTATTTATTATCATAAATAAATAATAAAGTACTTATAATAATAAAGTAATATAAAGTACTTTATAATAATAAAATAATTTATTGAATCCTGAGAGCAAAAAACAGAAGAGTTGTTTGAGTAGAGGACGGTTTTAAGTATACTGATCGTTGACCCTGGTGATTGCGGGCCTGACTCAGAGCTGCTGCTCCCTGCCAGTGCCCCGCATCATGAGAGATGACCCAGGAAAAGACCCAAATTCAAATTCAAAAATTTGAAGTAAGGTTCTACTGAACGCATATTGCTTTTTTACCATCGTAAAGTTGAAAAACTGTAAGTTGAACTATTGTCAGTTAGGGACCATCTGTTCTCTAATATTCTATTAAAAATTGTTCTGTTAGAGACACTGTGTAAATAATGGTTTGGAAGGGCGAGAGTGGAAGCAAGGACATGAGTTAGAGGCCTGTTAACAACAGTCTAGGTGAGGGATGATGGTGGTTTGAGCTAGAGAGAGGGGTGGGAGAATTGGCCAGAGGTGGTCAGAAGTAGAGCCAGCAGGACCTGCTGATGGATGGGGTGTGGGGAAGAAGGAAAGGAGGGAATAAAGACTGACTTGTAGCTTTTTGGCTGGGGCAGTTGGGTAGATGATTTGGTGAGATGGAGAGGATTGAGAGAACGGCTTCTCCGGGGATAGGGACTCAAGAGTTACGTGTTGGACATGTTAAGTTTGAGATGCCCATTGTTTATCCCGTTGAAGATATTAAGTAGTTGGTTTTCTCAGGAACACTCTAGGCCAAACAGATTCAGAGGTCAGTAGATTAAAGGAGGTATTTAAAAGTGATTAAAACTAGTTGAAATGACTCAGCTTGTTTAAAGAGGAGACTAGGGCACAGGACTGGACCCTCAGGAGCTCTGTTGTTCAGAGGCCCTGTAAAGGATGAGGAATCCTGCTTGCTGAGAAGCGGTACCGTGAAGAGCTGCTAAGTGGTCAGTACTCCTTAATGGCACGAACTTCCTCTTCTTTCAACTAAAGTTAGACTGACTTATACAGAAATACATGAGGAAAGATACTGGAAGTAACCCACCCCCAGTATACCAGATTCTGTTTCATAAAACTGTATCTAAGAGCCTTCCCAAATAAGGAGATCAAGCTTTTATTTCCAGTATGTTACAGATTATAGAATGAGATGCATTCTCTATACACGAGGCTTCTAAAAGGTCGTAAGCATGGCTGTGTGCTCCAGGGAATTAGGGTTTTAAAACCTTTTTTTTTTTTTTTTTTAGAACAGACTTTTGGGGCACCTGGATGGTATAGTCAGTGAAGCATCTGACTCTTGGTTTCAGCTCAGGTCGTGATCTCAGGGTCATGAGATCGAGCCTCACATGGGGCGATGCTCTGGTGTTGAGTTTAAGACTTCCCCCCTGCCCCTCCCCACCGCTTGCTCACTCCCTCGCTTTCTAAATAAATAAATAAATCAATCAATCTTTACAAACAGAGACAAAGTTTTCAGAATCACCAGATTTACTATAAATGAGGACAGTCTGTTGAGCGTCTCTGTCTTTGGCTCAGGTCATGATCCCAGCATTCTGGGATCTAGACCCTAGTCAGGCTCCCCGCTCAGTGGGGAGTCTCCTTCTCCCTGTCCCCTCACCCCTACAGCCCCATTTGTGGGCTAGTTCTCTCTCTCTAATGAATAAAATCTTCAAAAATAAAATATACACAGTCGAGTTATAGGGGTCCATATGTTCTTTGTGTGTGTGCGCATGAAGAATGGCACCTGTTTCCTTCCTCTTTTGTTAGGGATTCCCTACTTTGTTCCAAATAAGTGAGTTATTACTACGTGACTTGAAATTGCCCAGCAATGGTAGGAGGATTTGGAGGAAATTAGAGCCCACACATACCTTCGAATATTGGTAGAATAGCCCCTTCTGAAGACCTCTTCAGAAGCCCATTCCAACCTTAGCTGGTGAGGATCTGGCTCTGGGAGTCTGTCTGTACCATTTGTGTGATGCAGCACTGGGTTTGATCGCTATCTGAACTGGATGTGTTTCTCCCTCAGGTCTGGCGGGAGTTTCCTGACCGTCTGGTGGGTTACCCGGGTCGTCTGCACCTCTGGGACCACGAGATGAGTAAGTGGAAGTACGAGTCTGAGTGGACCAATGAGGTGTCCATGGTGCTCACTGGGGCAGCTTTTTATCACAAGGTAAGGTGGGGGGCAGGCTGGGCAAGTGGGTCTGAGGTGACAACACTGCATGCACGACGCTTGTTCTGTGTGGCCCAGTTGAATTTCTGCTGAGTTCAGGAAAAATGTCCTCCTCAGAGGGCCTCCAGATGCCACGCTGTCGTGTGTGTCAACTCCACTTCAGTTAAAAAAGGAAGAAAGAAAGGCTATGTAGTATGATTTTTTTTAAGTTATTTTTCTTATTATACAAATACTGCATGCTCATAATAGAAAATATGGAAAATTCATAACAAATGTTATCATATAAGAAAAGACACACACATACACGAAAGTCACTTGTAATCCTATCCCTTAGAGATAACCATCGTTATTGTATAGATGTTTTCTCCAGTTTGCCTATTATTTACTTATTCACATAGACAATTGTAAATATCCTCATTAGCTTGATTTTTGCATATATTATGAGTTTTTTAACATCAGCATTCCTTCATCACATAATTGCTAATATGCTATTGTACTAATACCCATAAATTATGTGTAACTATTCTTCTAGCACTGGATATTTAGGTAGCCTCAGGTTTTTTGGGCTATTTTAGATAATGCTTAATAGCTAATGCTTTAGTAGCAATTAGTATCTGTTTTCACAACTGTTTATACATGTGATCGTTATGATAGATTTCTACAAGTAGAATTATAGCAAAGGGAATGAACGTTTGGGGGAGGTTTTAAGATAGATAGAATATATATATATATATGTTGTTTTCAGTATTGTTTGCCCCAGTTTATCCTCCCACCAACAAAATATAAAATTATCTTACTATAACCCCCACTTGCATGAAATATGTAGAAAGGGAAAATGAGACTGAGCTGTTTTGAAAGGTGAAAAAGGATCTTACTGTTTTCACTTTGATTGCACTACTGTGGTTGAGATTCCTTTTGTGTCTTTTATATTTCTTCTGAGAATTGTCTCTTCACGTTTTTGACTTTTTTATTAGGGAGAGGTTGAAAGAGGATGCTTGGGACTTTAGAATATTCAGGTTGAAGGTAGAGCACTGCTGGGAGCGTGGGGTTGACTTGAACCGTGATACCTGCTCCATTGTCAGCAGCAGCCCGAGCTGCTGCCGTTAGGAGTGTCCTCCGCGTCTCTGGCCACCCCGGGGCCGTTCAAGTAGTGGAGCTATGGGACAGTGATGGCATGTTGCTTTCTTAGCCCTGCTGTGTGTTTTTCAGGGTTCGCAGTCCAGAAATGGGTTTTGTTCTTAGCAATAAGTAAAGTGAGGCTTATAATTCGTGGGGTTTATGATCATTCACTTGTACACTGCCCCCCCCCCCCCGACCAATTAATTTCTACACTATCTCATACGTGTAGAGCTTCAGAACTGTGGCAGCTTCAGAACTGCCTTATTTTGGGACTCGGTGGGTTGAACGTCCGACTCTTGATTTTGGCTTGGGTCACAATCTTAGGGTCTTGGGTTCAGGCTATGCATCGGGCTCTGCACTCAGCTCTGCTCCAAGCCTTGCTTGTCTCTCTCCTTCTCCCTAAGCCCCTCCCCCTCCTTACGTGTGCACGCACACACAAACAATCTCTCTAAAATAAACAAATCTTTGAAAAAAAAACCAGAATTGCCTCATTTTGTATTTTACTTTAAAAAGTGCACACCTGGGGCGCCTGAATGGCTCAGTGGGTTAAGCCTCTGCCTTCGGCTCCGGTCATGATCCCAGGTTCCGGGGATCGAGCCCCACATGGGGCTCTCTGCTCAGCGGGGAGCCTGCTTCCTCCTCTCTCTCTCTGCCTGCCTCTCTGCCTACCTCAAATAAATAAATAAAATCTTTAAAAAAAAAAAAAGCGCACACCTTTGCAGGTCAGTGCACTGGGAGGTTCTCTCTGTTTGCAGTCTGTGGGCAGAGCGTAGAGCCCAGGATTGTGGCTCCAGAAGAAGAACCGAGTAGAGATCAGTGTGTAGTGTGTCTCTGACTGATATTTTATTTATTAAATATATGATATATGAGTCCAAAAGGCCTGCATCCTACAAGGGCTTTACTCTCTGTCTCTCCTCTGCTTACAATAGGTGATTTTTAAAAGAATGACAGTGTGAAAGATTCTTGGTCATCTGACCAAAAGCATTCTAATACTTCTTACAGCCTTGTAATTAATCTTACAACAGAAAGCTTGTCCCCATGCCGTGATTAAATTGTCCTTTGATTGTTAACCATGGGGCACCGGTGTTTCACTCTTTCTTCTTTTTGTCTCACCTGACAGTATTTTAATTACCTGTATACCTACAAAATGCCTGGCGACATCAAGAACTGGGTGGACGCTCATATGAACTGTGAAGACATTGCCATGAATTTCCTGGTGGCTAACGTCACAGGGAAAGCTGTCATCAAGGTAAGGCATCCCAGTCCAGCTCTGCCACCAACTGCGTGATCTCGCGTAAGTTTTTGTTTCCTGAGCCTGAGACGTTCTCATAAATGTAAATGAAGCTTTGGATTATGTGAACTTCAAGTTCCTTCTAGCTTTCAGATTCTGCGATTGATGTAATCACATTATAACATTAAAGCTAGGCTTTGAAAATTTAAACATGTTTTCTTTTTTTTATGTGGTTTCTTTATTTTTTTTATATTATTTATTCATTTATTTGACAGAGAGAGACAGCAGAGAGGGTACACAAGCAGGGGGAGTAGGAGAAGGAGAAGCTGGCTCCCCGTGAGCAGGGAGCCCGAGGCAGGGCTCGATCCCAGGACTCCAGGGTCATGACCTGAACCGAAGGCAGTCGCTTAACCAATTGAGCCCCCCAGGTGCCTTTATGGTTTCTTGTTACAATTTTTAATATCCAGTATTAGAAATAAAGGCTGGGATGGTCAGCCTACCAATCATGTTTTTAAAAACCTTCAATTGTATTCTCAAATCTGATTTGGAATCTAGATCTGTTAGTTAAAGAATGCAACTTACAGCTCTCTTAAGGTGGCTGGGTTTTATTTTTAAAGACATTGAGAAGATAATACACCTTGTCCAGTTACAACTGTAGTTTTTCTAAATACTATTCTTAAATACCAGTTGCCAGTTTTTTTGAAACTACCTTTCCCATAACAAATTAAAAGCTGAGAGTACGTAAGAATCACACGGGGATCTCTGTATCTATAGATCTCTGTATCTATCTCTATCTCTATCTATTCCTGAAACATAGATTTTGCTCAATCCAGATTGCCAGATACAAAGAGAGTTTACATCTTTTTTATGAGTGGAATTGTCGTGACCTTGTTTCCTTCTGGATTAGAATTCCATAGAAAAATAAGCAATGCTTCTAGGCCAGATTCCTGTACTGGAGTCTTCCCATACTGGAAGCTTACACTAGAAGTGTGGTATGGCATCCCCGGTGATTGTTCATGCTATGAGTTGATGGGAGAAGTTGGATTAAACCAAAGTGACTGAGGAAAGAGGAAGAGTCCCCATCTGTGCTCTGTGACCCTGGTCCGGGCCTCCCCCTCCCCCAGCCCTCTGACACCGTCAGCACTCACCGCAAGAAGAAGCATGTAAATCACAAAACTAATTTTAAAGGAACCCCTCTTATCTCCAAAATTGCTTTTTGATGTGCTTCAAGATATTTTTAGCTGTGCCTACTTACTCTGTGAAATCATTCCACCATCTGTGTGCTGCTCTCCTTCCCCCAACCCCCGTCTCACTACTGTTTACTTAGCTTCACTAGGTTAGGATAATAGTCTCCCTGGGTTTGCTAAGAAAATCATTAGCCGTTGAAGGTGCGGGAGTGCAGGAGGGAAAGGCAGGGAAAAGAATTCAAATGGTGAGGGGGACCATTGGGTTTTTTCCCTGATCGGAGGGAATTGCAAAATAACCTGGCATCTTCAAGAGCATGGTGCTGCTCATAGCGCTTGCCTTTAGCTGGAAGAAGGAGAATGAGTGCCTGTTGGAACTAAGGTTACGGTGAAAGTTATGGGAAGCTGTATTTCATCGCCCTTATGGCTGCAAGAACAAATGGTGTTTATACAAGGACCTTGGCAGTGAGAAAACAGTCATTAAACAGGAATTAAGGAGCTTGTCATCACCACTTCTTTCCAGTTACAGAAGGCAAAAGCCCTCCAAGCCTTTTTTATTGGGCCCTTGTGAGTTCTGCTGTTGGCCAAGCCAGACAGAATTGAATGGAAGAACGGTGAGGTGTGTGTGTGTGTGTGTGCGTGCGTGCGTGTGTGCGCGTGCCCACGACGGGCGTGTGTGTGCATGTGGAGGGAGGAGGCAGCTCGGCTTACAGAGCAGAAGCACGCATGGTGGTGTCACAAGCATGATTTTCTTGTCCTTGGCACTAACAACCAGGTGTCTTTGTGTCCTTCCCTGGCAGGTAACTCCACGAAAGAAATTCAAGTGTCCTGAGTGCACAGCCATTGACGGGCTTTCACTTGACCAGACGCACATGGTGGAGAGGTGAGTGAGCCTCTAACCAGAAGTCTGCCCTAGCCTCTGATCCCCACTTCCTGCTTTGGGCCTGTTTATGGGACTTGCTGGAGATGTAAGGACGGCAGCTGGTAGCCATAGTCCCCTCCTTTGGCACTGTGGGAATTGGGTTAGTTCAAGCCCAGGTCACCCAAAGAATTAATTTGGAATGCTCCTCACTCAATTTGTAATGGCTGGAAGGGTCTTAAAAATATAGCTGGCCTTAAGCTCCAGGAGTTGGGTTCTCCATGTGGATGAAGCCGTTAACGTCCACAGTCATTTGACTGGAAGCTAGTTAATTCCAAGAAAGTACTAGATTGTTTTGCAGGATAGTACCTCCATGTGACAGTAAAGGTTTGATTAGGAAGAATTAAACCAGACCCAGAGACAATTTACCTTTGCTGACCAAAACACCTACCAAGAACAGAATTGAAAGCAGAGCTCTTTCCATTAGAGAGAGAGAGAGAGGAGCAAGGCAGCCCTGAGATACTCCTATTATTTCAATTTGGTCGGTTACTCAACAAGCACACTTTGTGTGGAATGTGATACTGAACCCTGTAAGTGAGCGTAAAACAAATGGGAGGTGTATGTCTTCCCGCAGGACTGTTTTAATCTTGGAGTAGGCCTCATCCTTCCCTCTTGTAACCCAAAGGTCCCCAAGCTTGGCATCTCCCTAATCAAACCTAATTCTCCCAGAAGGCAGCTCCTTACATGAGACAGCAAGCTCGTACATCCAGTGGCACTGTTGTCAAGCACTCAGAGAGTGTTAGAGTGGTCCTTACAGAATAAGATACTGAGTCAGGTTTCCACAGGCTTATTCGATCTTCTTGGAGCATCCATTTCTGGGGTCTCAGTCACGTTCAAGTCCTTAAAGCCTGGAGGATTTTCTTGTACAAAAAGTTGTTTCACTTGGTCTAGATTCTTCTATGAGTGTTTCTTCCTTCTTATTTCTTATTCTTACCCTCTAAAGAATCCTGTACTCTTTCATATATAAATATCTTACCCAAAAGACGTGACTTTTATCAGCTGTCAATGCAAAATAATATGTGATTTGGGAACTATCTGTCACGGTATCATAGGAATTACACAGTCAAGGGCAGTGATATTAACTGTCATAGCTCATCTAGAAGAGACCCCGATTATAGTTATATTGGACTACATGAAATTATTATTAAACCTACCTCCATTCTTTATGTTTGGGTAATTGATTAGGCTGAGTTAAAATGGTGAGGTTCTAAGGTGTAAGATAGGAATTTAGGGTGAAAGGTTGGCCTGATGATGGCCTTGCCGTTCATGCTAAGGCTAAACAACTCCTCTAGCACCCCTGAGATAACAAATATAAAGAGACTTAACATGCAGCGAGAGAGATGTAAGTTAGATAGAATTATTGTTAAACACTGCAGAAAGTAACTGAGAGGGATGTGAGGGCTTCTCTTGGAAATAGACTTTTGAAAATAGAATAGGCGACTGTCCAGACGTTGTGAGGCTTGAATCAGATGCTCTCAGAGTTTATAATTAACCACAGTAAATATGAATGCATGCACACACATGTGCGTAACAGTCTAAAGCTTCACGTGATAAGCGCCGTGCGGGAGACTCAGGGTGTTACCAGTGATGAGAGGAAAGAGAAGTGACTTCTTGCTAGGTTGATTACTAGGAATAATTTTGTAAAAGGTGACACCTGTCAGCCTTCAGAGATCACTAGGATTACTGAGCAAAAAGAGGCAATCCCAGGCAGGGGAGACCGGGTGGCCAAAGGTTTCAGTCAGCAGGGTGAAGGCGTATCTGGCAAGCAGTTCGGGTCCGGGCTGGCTAGAGTGTAGAACTCTGGCCTGATGCTGCCAGGCCCTAAAGGAGTGCCCAGTGAAGGAGTCTGAACTTGTTCTTCAGGCTCCAATATGCCCCTGAAGGTGTTTGAACAGGGCAGCGTGGTCTAAGTATTGTTTTGAGATTCTTTTGGAAGTAGTGCCCAGAATGGAATGAAGGTGAAGAAAATGAAGAAAGCACATTTGGAAAGCTTGAACTAAGTTGAGTGTGGAGAGGAAGGGATGGATTAAATTACGAGACATGGGTTTGTGTTTTTCCCCAAAGGAAGATATGCTAGAACTAGAGGTTATAGGGAAGGAATTGACAGAGGGAGCTTAGATCTCAAGTTAGGAAGAAATGGTAGTGCCGTCCGCGGTGTGAATGATACAGTTAGGAGGAGACTGCGGTTCACGAGGAGGGAGTGTGGACGAGTGTGGATGGTGGCACCTTCAGCAGTGTAAGTCATGAGGCAGGCAGAGATTCGAATTGTGGGTCAGAGAGCAGTAAGGGGGGGAAGATCGGGGGGTCTTGCCTTCTGTGTGTGCAGATACAGATAGAGAGCAAGTACCTGGAAACGTACAGCTAGAGCTTCAGGAAGATGATGAAAACAAGGGTAGATACTGGAAAGACATCTGCCCAGAGATGGCCATTGACTAGAGAAAAGGCAAGGGCAGAATCTTGAGAAACTGACATTTAGGAGACAGAAAGAGTAACTGAAGAGAAGGCAGGAGAGAAGCAGTGTCTATGGTGCACAGAAGCAAGGGAGGAGCACGCAACATGCAGCCTGGGAAAGGGCTTTGAGTTAAATGCTTAGTGGTGACTTTGAAAAAAAATAATGCCATAAAGTGATGGGGCTTAAGGGTTATGGCGTGTGAGTCTGTTTAGGGAAGTGGAGTTAGTGAATGTAGAGTACCCTTTTGAGAAATTCGATAGGGAACAGAAGAAATCAATCTTGAAATCAGAAACTGGGAGCAAAACTATTTGGATTAAAGATTGAATCACTAAATTATTAAATGAGGCACTTAGGTCGGGAGGGAGGAAGGCATGATTTAAGCCATCCTGGGTAGACCAAGAGATGGAGTTACAACTGTAGAATTGTTCATTTGTTGGGTTTTGGGTTTTTTTTTTTAATAGTTTCCTTTGCAGAATTCACAGTTTGCACAAAACAGCAAAAGAAGTTAACCACTCTGCAAGTTATGACCTTGTGTTAGGTTTTATGGTTTAATAAGCTTATTTATTCTTATATTTGGGGTCTCGGAGCAGAAATCTCGGTTGTGTAGGAGCATAGCTTTTACTGCCCAGCATCCATTTCCAGGATCTGCTGTTAATTCTTTAAGAACCAGAAAAGCAAAAGTCTTTGTAACTGTCCATTTTGACCAGTCATTTCACCAAGTTAAGGCAATATGGCAGACAGCAGTGATCTGAAGAAAGAACATTGTATTTTGATTCAGGCCCATCTTTGTTCAAATTATGGGTTTGCCACTTAGTAGCTGTCTGACTTAACAAAACTGATTTGCCTTAACCTGAATTCCAGTCTTTTCGTCTCCTAAAATAGGTATATTAATACCTATCAAATTACAGTGTCCATTCATGGGTTTAACAAATCCCTATTGAGCATCTTTGTACCAAACACTGTGTTTTGTCCTGGAGATGATTGCGGTAATAACATCGGAAAGCCTGTAACCTGGTGCCGGGCCACATCCATCTCCTTCCCAGTTTCCCTAGCATTTGTCCCCAGGGCTCCAGGTTACTTTATGTAATTGGATATGTTTACAAGGAAAACAGAAAACCGGGAGTCCCTCTCCCGCAGACGCTTCCAGCACTTCAGAGGAAGACAGTGGTTCTTAGTCCACTCGTACTAGATTAGAAAACCAACCCCGGGGAGCATTGACTGACTGGACCGCTGACAGGACAGCTCAGGTGAGCCACTGGCAAGCGGCCAGCCTCACCACCTGCCCCAGCCTGCGGCCCAACCCGGAGCCCCTGTGTGAGAAGAAAGTAGGGAACTACTGTTAGTACCTGGCCGGGGAGTTAGGGACCTTTACCACACCGTGGCCCACGACTTCTCCGGTGCAGGCTGTGTGGAGAGAAGGAAGCACTCACTAGGTCTGGGTTAGCCAGGGGCAGCTGTCAGCAAGTCAGCTGGCCTGCACCCCAGTGGCCTCTTGCCTGTGGCCCAGCCCTGTTGGCAGATCTAGTTACAGAGCAGACATTGTCCTCAGTGCTCTCCAGTGGGCTGTGGAGCCGCTGTCCTCTGCCAAGAACCGTGGCTCTTCTTTAATACAAACTCACTGGTCCCTGTGCTGGGCACGGCTGGCCTTGGCTGGCCAGAGTCCACAGGCATGATGACTGGAAACTGGAAGAATCCGTCCATGTTTATAGGCAGAAGGACTGCCAAGAGTAAGACCTTGGAGAGACTGACTTTGTCTGCCACCACCTTGACCCTATGCTTGGAGGAGAGGGAAGTCACTGTGCTCACTCAGTACCCCTCTGCAGAGACGCCCCAGCCTTTCCCGGGGATCCCCTCGGACACCCACCTCCTGAGTCTCACAGGACTGCCAGCAGGAGGGAAGGTCGTTACCCGTGAGTTACGGTAGTGTGAGGGAAAGCACAAAGGCTCTCTTGCCTGAGTAGATGTGTGTTAGAGACCCAGCTCCAGCACTTGCGAGTGTAGATCCGCATTAGAGACCCAGGTCCAGCACTTGCCAGTGTAGATCCGCGTTAGAGACCCAGGTCCAGCACTTGCCTGTGTAGACCTGCATTAGAGACCCAGCTCCAGCACTTGCCTGTGTAGATCCATGTTAGAGACCCAG